ACTTACTACTGCTGTACATAGTAGAAAGGGCAGACTCCCCCCCCCTCGTACTTTATGGGGTGAAGAAGCACCGCAGGAGGCCTGTAGTACGTCCCGTCTCCTTGATTTACTCCGGGCTTTATTCAGCCCAAACCCCAAAAGCAAAGAAAGTTCCTTAAGAGAAAGGATCTCCCCTTGAAGCTGCAACGTGCTGCCCGCGGGCGAATCCGGAGAGGCGGACTCCAGGCCTCGCCAGAATTCAGGGTTAAAAGTAATAATAATAATAATAATAATAATAATAATAATAATAATAATAATAATAATAATAATAATAATAATAATAATAATAATATAATATAATATAATATAATATAATATAATATAATTAATATAATAATATAATATAATAAATAAATTTGGAAGGAACCTTGGAGGTCATCAAGTCCAACCCCCTGGGGGGGGCAGCTGAAGATGGACTGTAAGCCTCCAGCAACCCCTTGCACGGTTATTATTGTTATTTTTATTATTGTTGTTACTATTGTGTGTGTTTTACTTTGAGAGCGGGCAACTAAATTTCATTGTTGATGTGTGCCATTGTGCCCACAGTATAAAAATGACAATAAAGGTTATCTTATCATCATCATCATCATCATCATCATCTATTATTATTATTATTATTATTATTATTATTATTATTATTAATTATCATTATTATTTTAATGAAGGGTAGAATTCTAAATCAGGAGTCTTCCAACTTGGCCAAGTTGGAAGACGCCTGTTCTAAATGGAGTCAATCCACTCCACAAGCTGCGCTGTAAAAAACACAAATTCATGGTGGGTTTTTGTTTTTGTTTTTTAAAAAAAAGACTACATTGCGAGGTTGTTGTAAAACGCACGCTTCCTCGCCACCCTCCTTCCCCTTGCAAGCCGCAGGAGGGCCGGCCCGCTTCTGCCCGGCCCAAAGCGCTTCAATATCCCCCTCCCCTCCCTCCCGAGGCTTTCCTCGTGGCCTCCTTTCCTTTGCAACGAGGAAGGCGCGCGTCTCCAGCCCAGGCGCGCCTGAGCGCCTCCGGATAGTTTTGTATTGGTTCTGTGTGCTTTTGCCGCACCTGCCCGCCCATCCCCGCCCGCCGGGCGTCCCGAGCCGGGCGGGGAAGCCCGAAGTGACTCAAGGACGGAATTCCCCTGGGCGGATGACGTCACGGCCTCCGGGCCACGCGTGCCACTTAAAGGGGAAGCGCTGCGGAGCTGCGAGCCCGGATTTGCACGTTCCCACGCGTCTTTCTCCGCCGTAAGTGGCCCCGCGGCCTCTCTCCAACCTCCCGGGATTTGGGAGGGGGTCGCCGGCTGAGTCCTGGGGTCCCGCTGGGGAGAGAGAGAGCCGTTTCTTCGTGGCTCTGGGTTTTTTCTTTTTTTCCTTTTTTCTTTTCTTTTTCTCCTCTCCGCTTTTCCAGCCAGACCCGACCCGGCTTGCATGCCGATGAAGGAGGCCGTTTGTAGCTTGGGGTTTGAAATGAGGGGGTCCTGGGTGGTCTCTGAGCTGCGCGGTTTCCTTGCCGACGTTGCGTTATCCTAACTAGGGGACATCGTCAGTGGGGTTTGCAGAGAGGAGGAGGAGGAGGAGGAGGATTGTGGGGTCCTTGGTCTTCTCTGTGGTTTTCTTGCAGATGTTTCAGGACCCAGCTAGGGAACATCATCAGTACCAGAAGGGAGGGGGTGTGCAGAGAGGAGGAGGAAGAGGAAGAGGACTGTGGCGTCCTTGGTCTTCTCTGTGGTTTTCTTGCAGACGTTGCATTATCCTAACTAGGGAACATCGTCAGAGGGGTTTGCAGGGAGGAGGAGGAGGAGGAGAAGAAGAAGAAGAAGAAGAAGAAGAGGAGGAAGAGGAAGAGGAAGAGGAAGAGGAAGAGGAAGGAGAGGAAGAGGAAGACGACTGTGGGGTCCTTGGTGCTCTCTGAGCTGGGTGGTTTTCTTGCAGACGTTTCATGACCCAACTAGGGAACATCATCAGTGCTAGAAGGAAGAGG